GGCGCGGCGGAAAAGAAAAGGTTAGAAGCGTTCGAAATGTGGTGTTATAGGCGGATGATGAGGATAACGTGGGTAGAAAAGGTTAGAAATGAAGAGGTATTAGAAGGAATAGGAGAACAGAGGACTCTATGGAAGTCAATACGAAATAGGCGAGATAGGTTAGTAGGACTTCTCAGACATGAAGGTCTAGTCAGAGACATATTAGAGGCAGAAACAGGAGTTAGGACAGATAGAGGTAGACCTAGATTAAATTACTGTTGGCAAATAGTTAAGGATGTGGGTTGTTTTAGTTTTAGGGAAATGCGAAGATTAGCTCAGGATAGGAAGGAGTGGAAGTGCGTATTCAACCAGTCCTAGGACTGATGACCTTATGATTATGATAGTGGATAAAAATTGAGAATGTATTTTCAACTGAATATTAATCACTAGGAATTTCAATGCGTTTGAAAGAACGTTTAATTTTTAGGTTAGAAATTGACAGAAACTATTAGCCTCAAATGGCGATTTCAAGAAATTAAACGTCCATACCTGTCACGTTTTTTTTTTGTTATTAAAAAGAGGAATTGAATTATATAGATGGGTATATAAATCGGTTTTAATAACGACCTACTTATCGTAGTTGTTCCTCCAGCTACTGCAGCTTTCGTGCCGTGATAGAAATCGTCAGCAGTAACAGTTCCCATAAATTCGAATTCTAAATGCGTATGTGGATCAACACCTCCCGGTAGGATAAAGAAACCTTTGGCATCGATACTTCTAATGCCATTCGGAACTGATAGATTCTTCCCCAATTCCTTTATGATGCCGTTCTCTATAAATATATCATTTTCGGATATTCCATCTGCGTTAACTATTGTTCCGTTTCTTATAAGAAGGGAGTTTTGCGATTTCTATAAAGAAAAAATAATTAAGAAAAATGCTAGCTATTCATATAGTATAGGAAATTATTTTTAATAAGTAAAAAAACACATTTTCTATATATCACTCAATTGTGAAGTCTCTACAGATATCAAAGGCTGTACGGATGGGTTCTATTCAGATCTGATTTAAATGTAAGAAAAATAGATCTAATCTAATCAAATTAATGTAGACACGACCTTTAAGAAAAATAGTTTTAGTCACCATCAGGTTTGTATCTGTTGAGATCTAGAGAAATCTAAAAAGTTGATTTCAAAATGCACTGTGATGATTTCAAGATTGAATTCCAGAAATTAGTTTGAAGCTAAACGACAGATCTGCCAAGTTCGTCATGAATATTTGTTGATATTCGTTGATTTGCCGCAAAATCAAGATGTCAGTAGACCTCCTGTTTTTGGGACTTTCAGATCGCTGAAGATCGTTAAAAATTTCTTCAAATTGATAAAGGATTTCACAGCCAGTAGGTAAACTGATGTTGTTTTCATATGGGTCTAAACACTGTCGTCGGTTAGAGTTGCTTCCTAACGTTTCGCTTACACTGGTAGTGAACTTCTTCAGTCCACATCCAGCATCGAGGATGGAAGGACCTCTGAAGAAGTTCGTCATTCGTGCTAACGAAACGTTAGGCAGGCCCCTAGCGATGTACATTATTTTTCTTTAAGTTTTACACACACACGCAAAAAATATGCATTTACAAATAAAAAAAATTATCAAAAATTGTTATAAAATCAACTCGATTTCATCCCAATACAAATTACCTCTAGTTAATGGGGTCGAACTGTTTGTTGCTGCTTGCATTGTTCCGTCGAGAATCGAACGCGGAAAACGCTCTCAAAGTATTGATATTAATAGAAGAAAGACTTAATATACTAAGTTAATATCGATTTCGCCTGTGTTTAACTTTCGTTCATAAATTCACTAAATTGTTTAAGTCAAGAGCATCACAAAGTTTCTTTTTGTTCTTTATCATCGATTGGGCATCAAGTCTCTCCTCTTTAATGATGGACCTGGTCGAATTTTTAACTATTTTAAGTAAACTAAAGCCACCAAAAAGTGTACTGTAAATGTTAGCTGACAAAGATGAAAAGTTCCGCAACAGCTATTTTATCCTTAGCAGCTAACTTTATGATGCCTTGCATTGAAAAGCATAAATCAAATAATATCTCCATCTGCATGGGAGAGCTTAGAACTTGGGTATTTGATCATGAATCAATTTTTCAGTATTTTCACTTGTAATATGCTTTTTATCTAAAATGTTTGATATTGAATTCAAACGTTCTACAATCATTTTAAGTTTATCTCGTTAAAAGTTTCTAATTTTATCTTAAACACTTAAAACGCTTTTTCTGTAAAACATATTTATATCAAAGCTCGTTGCATTGAATTCAATTTTTGCCGGAAATCTTCGTTTTCAGTAATGTCTGAAAATCCTGTTTTAGATTAATTTTAACTTTTCTAGCAAAAATTTTGGCACTTTGTATTATTAAGTTTAGAATTACATTTTCCTGTTGCTTTATTGAAATTAGGGATTCTCTAGTTTTACTAATAATGTCTACTGCGTCTACTATATTCAAATCTTCCTTTCCTCTTTATCCTATTTTTACAAAGCGTTTATAGTAACCGTCTTACTTTGGGGTATTTGGTTCGAAATATTGACCAGAAGTCCAATTACTTGATGATACTGTAAAGGTAATAATAATAATCTTTGCTACCTGCGAAAGTTTGGTGAACACCGAATTAAGGACCGCCATTATTTTTATGGTCCCTTTGCCTTTTTGTAATCTCATCACAGCTCGTATATGCAAATACTCTTCGAGTTTCTCAAGCAGTTTTACCTACAGGCGTTTTTACACGAAATTACGAAAGAAAATCATTTGTAACGCATTTCCTAATTAATAAGACAAGTCGAAAAAGGCAACTAAGCAGATATTGAAGAGGGAGGATGCTTTCCCTCGACCGTTTTCCCCTATGGCAAGAAATCATGATGCACCACGCCCCTGCAATCGAAGAAAACAGTAAACAAAACCTTCACATTCGACATGCGGCAGCTTCCATTGGGATGATTGACCTTTGGTCTCCACGTTATAACCATAAACCCATGATTCGTCACCAGTTGTAACCTTCTGGAACAAATTTGAGTTGTCGCGGATAAAGTCCAACAGCTCCTTAACAATGATAAAATCACTGGTAAAAAACGAATGGCAGGAGTCAATAGATAATGTTTAGGTCCTCAGAAACTTCTCTAACGGTGAATCGACGATTGGCCAATACTACTTTCTTCATTTCATCAATGTCGTTCACATCTTCTTCTCGGCCCTCTGAGACAATTTTATACCACCGATAAACGTTGCTTCGGTCCAAGGTAGCTTCATCATATGCCACAGTCAACATTCAGAATGCGTCCGAGCACGTAATTTTGTTTTTTGTACAAAATTTGATACAGATTCTTTGATCCATTTTTTGGAATAGGCAAAAATCGAAATCAAAAAANGTAGAAACTGGTAATTATATCATTAAATAAATGTTAATATATTTTCTATTTAATTAGGCAGCCATAAATTAGATAATATAAACAACTAAACAAAACATAACTATCAGTATAATTTATAGAATAATAAACAAAAGTAAATATTTAATTATTTACATAATGTGCGGTAGGTATGTATAAATAATTTAGAATTTTGTGAGAGAAAGAATAGAGTAGCTTGTCTAATCTGACGCCCCTTAGATCTTCACAATTTGAGAAACTCATCCATATCCATAAAGTATTAGTTTCTTGCTCATTTGTTTACACAGAATTTTTTTCGCTTGCAAATTTCCAGTTAATTTTAAAAAGACTACGTTAAAGTTCGATCGTTTTTGTCTATCGATCAATATGCAGTAACATGACAATGTTTGATTATACAGTTAATTATACTCTCAGTAATGAGTACAACTACAACAATTCATTCGTGTTTTTACACGAATATTATCTGCTGAATATCGCAACAATTTTAATAAAGGGTAATGTACTTTACCTTTGGATTCACTGTAGTACACGCCATACTCCTTAGCATAATTTCTGCACAGTAGAGCCACTAACAATAAAATGATTGATTGATTGCTTCGACCTCCGTTAAATCGGTTGTTGGAACAGAAATGTTTAGCGATAAAATGATAGTGATGTTTGCTATAAGCTGCTTATTAATACATTTTATAATGAGTAAATAATTGGGGAAAATGTATCGAAAAATGTCATTAAAACCTTAAAAATCTATCGTACTAAAAATGGTAAAAGGTTACATAAGGTTACATATTATATGTTCCTTTTTGAATACAAGATTGTTTGTATTTTAACTCCGTTAGAAGCATTTTTTTCGCTGTTTTCAATGTTTACTTTAGGGGTCACATATACGACTTATTTCATATTTTAGTGCTAGGTGGACTGGATCATGTTCACAAGATGCCTAAATAAAAACCCAACGTCAATTGCCACAGTATCTTGTGGTTTTAATATTTTACAAGTAATACTTCTAAAGAAGTTTTAATAAGGGGAAATATTGTAAATTGTTACTTATAAAAATACAAAATATTGTGGAAATTAACATTTTTTAATATTAATGCAAAAATTCATGCAATTTTTATCCAGTGTAATACAAATTAATGACGAAAAATTGTTGCTATACTTTATTTACTTTCTCCAGCGATGTACCCCTTCCAATGTTTTGGATGCGCGCTGGCAAAATCGTATTTAGGGAAAAAAAGCTCATTATACTCTCGACTCTTGTTCATTAAACATACTTTTTCATACAGTACCTGCCAAAAGTTTTGTTCAAACATAAATAGTAGTGCGAGTCGAAAACAAGCGTTAAAGCCTTTTATATGTCTTCAAATATAAATAAACATCTCGTTGATATTTTCAGTAGTAAATGGTACCAATAACAGCACATTTGAGCAATGCAATTGTAGTGGATAAAATGGTCAATTTTTCCGTGCAGTACTGTACGGATTATACGCTCCTCACCGGTTAAGAGTTTGGCCGAGAGTTGTCTCCTTCCTTTTCTGGCCTAGTGCTGTTTTTTTCTACATTGCGCCGGTCAAACTGAAGGTCATATCGCTACAGAAAGTAAACGAATTATACATTTACACCCTCGCCGAAATCGAATTTGTAGTGAATTTTTGTATTAATATTTAATATTATGCACTATTAAAAGTTTCTCACAGTATGACATTTTTTAATGGTACTGGTACCTATGAGGTTTAGGCAAACTCAGTTCTATTTTGTAGGATCTAAAGGATGCAGTTTTTATGTCTTAACCGTTTATTAACTAAACACAAAATACTTTGCCTTTGATGTACTTATCTATAGTATAAGCTAACGTTCTGTTACGTTTTTGCTTCAGTTTGTTCCATTGTCTCCGACGTCGGTGATGTTAATTTAGTACAAGCTTGTCCCTTCTTTGCTGCCGTCTACCCCTTTACAGTAATTACCTATAACAATGTAAAGGTTTCTCTTCTACCGTTTTCTTGTGATAATTATGAAATTTTCAAACGTTTCAAAGAAAATTACTTGGTTGTTATACAATAGGTCTTTGTATGCGTAGTGTAGTCGGTGGTAAAAACAGAAATATAGTTGGAACGTTCAAAACTGTCATGTCACTTTCTTCTTTCAACTGACTAACTACCCTAGAGCGGTTGCTGACAGAACACTTACTTTTACTCACGATAGATGTTGTAGGGAATATAGTCAACATAGAAAAGAGATGTCAGGTAGGAATTGCAGCGGACACTAATAAAGATAAAAGAATAACATTAAACCAATTGATGTGTAACAGAAAGAGATGCAGACAAACACTTTTCACACACACACACCTTCTGTTTTGCTACTGTATCTTCTCATTTCTAACCTTTTTCATCCAGAATATTTGTATCACTTTCCCCAATGCATTCGATGTAGTAATTAGATATTAAGCAATAACATTTTAATTAACTTTCAAAGCTTCACATAAACTATAAGTACACACCACAAGCACATTTAAGTTTCTCTATAGGGACCAAGATAACGTTGTGTATGTATCGTGTCTATGAATAAGTAAGGAGAACGTATCAGATGGTACAAAATTTATTCGGAAAACCTTATTTCGACCGCGGCAGGGCATTTGAATGATGTGGTGCTTCAAAGCCGCTCATACATCGTAAGCTTACCGTTGAAAGATAATGCACACCTCGCCTTTTGATTTGTGTGGGCTGATTTATCATAGAGGATTTGCGTATGATGACGAGACAGTCGCAGATATACATATGTTACAGGAAAATGAGAGAATCGATTGAGAAATGTTTGAATCACGGGATCGGTTTCCTTACAGCAATAATCAATTTGCAAATTATCTGCTTTTTACATCAAATTTACTACCACCAATGTCCTTCATTTCGTAATCTTTAAAAAAGGCTCATTAATATTCTGCCTTGATGGATTTTGATGCAGCTGTATTCTCTAATGATACGAAACTTAGGAATTAGTTGACAATTGATGGAACTGTGCCTTGGCTTTCAATGTCCAAGAGGCTAACGTTTAATCTTAAAATTAAAGTTTGCGAATTGAATATGCTGCGCGTGTTGTACATGTAGGTAATAACTCAAAGTATAGTTGTGAATTCTACTGATTTCAACTGACTTATTGACTTTTTGGTTGACTTATCCGTTTTTCTGATTGGCATATTTGAAAGATAAAAAGCTATACACTAAGGATATTTAAGTGCAGTGGAGCCTCTTTGACTAGAAAAACTGTTTTGTGACCTTCCCTTCAAGCTCCAAAACCTCCATTACTCGAAATCTCAACCCTCTATTAGTCGAAGTAACCAGTGAGTCCCTACAAGAAAACTAAGTTATCGACTTTAAGGATTTGCCGAAAATGTAAGTACACCAGATCTTAACCTCTACAAGTCGAATCAAAATCCTCATAAGTTGAAAACTGTGTAACTGGATTTTTTTTGTTGTATCCCTTGATGTTCGAGTTATAGAGGTTGTACTGTATATAGGGATTAGTTAATGTAAAATCGTAAAGGATCATCATGATTAAAATGTTAGTAAGTATACTTCATTTAATTTCTCTAGCGATGTGCCCCTTCCCATGTCTTGGATGCGCGCTGGCAAAATCGTAGGTAGGGAGAAAAAAGCTCATTATACTCTCGACTCTTGTTCGTTAAAGATACTTTTTCATACAGTACCTGCCAAAAGTTTTGTTCAATTATGAATAGTAGTGCGAGTCGAAAACAAGCGTTGAAGCCTTTAATATTTCTTCAAATATAAATAAACATCTCGTTGATATTTTCAGTAGTATATGGTACCAATAACAGCACATTTGAGTAATGCAATCGTAGTGGATAAAATGGTCAATTTTTCCGTGCAGTACTGTACGGATTATACGCTCCTCACCGGTTAAGAGTTTGGCCGAGAGTTGTCTCCTTCCTTTTCTGGCCNGCGTCTGGCAGTTTCGACAGAATACAGACCAAGTGGACCTTGTTGGAGCATACGTAATCCTAAAATGTAGCATCCTGCTACAGATGGCGTTTACCGCTCCATTTGTGGTATTTTCTAAAACTTTTGAGAGTTTCATTCCTATCAGCATTAGTAGCTGCTGGTAGGCGGGCGATTCCTACAGACTATTCTACAGAGTAAAGGGGAGGACCTACACTTCAGCCTCCTTTCAGGAATCGTGAGAATGACTGGGTGGTAATTGGGATGCGAAAAATGAGGCGGACAACATGAAGACGGGACAGATTGAGAGATTTTGCATGGAATATTACTGCTTCACCATTTACATAAGTGATCCAAGGAAGGTACAGAATAATTTGGACCGGGTAGAAAAACCCGGAATCGAACCAGTGTCCTGCCGAATGCTAATCAATGATATATAGCTGTACGTCATGCCCATCAGTCATGCCCGTCGATAAATTATTGAACAAACCGAAGCTCCACTATCTTTGAAACAGGAGACAAGGCCCTACTTGTCGGTAAATCTCCTACTTTTGGATGTTCATATCGCTGAAAATCTTTAAAGATTTCTTAATATCTTAGTGTTCTCTACTGATCATATTTTTTCAATGTATTTCTAGATCTACGGGGATATACAGAAATCTAAATCTTAGTAAATCTAAAAGTGACTATCTAATGTTTTTCTTTTTAAAATGAACTAAAGAAACGTGTGTTTATTTGGACGCATCTTTTAGGCTGCAGCTATAACTCGGACTATCCGGTTTCAGAACCGAAGTTATGAATTTTTAACCGCGACCCTGTTCGTGAGCTCGTCTCATTTAAATTGGTTGTCTGTTAGTCAGTACCAAGGAAACTGTATTTTCGGAAAACTTTTTTCAGATGCGGATGTCCAGTATCTGCGTTGGTATCATACGAAATCTGCAGTCAATTAAAAATTTTTGAAATTTCATTTATTCAAGAAAATTCGTGAGCTATCTTTAATGGTTCGCAAGATATACGCCCCCAAGCTTTTAGTGGTCGTTTTCAACAATGCCAAAACTTTCGACAGCGATAGTTCTGAAATAATTCAACGTAGGAAGACGATTCTGAGCTTGTTTAAATCCCCGCTACTTGAATAACTGAATCGACGACCCTTCTTACATACGTGATAGATAAGTAAATTAATTAATAAGCACATTTATTAATTTGAAAATTTTGAGGTAATAAAAGGATAGCAGAACAGAGGACTCTATGGAAGTAAGAATAAGAAATAGGTGAGATAGGTTGGTAGGACACCTTCTCATGAAGGTCTAGTTAGAGACATATTAAAGGCAGATAGAGGTAGACCTAGATTAAATTACTGTTGGCAAATAGTTAAGGATGTGGGTTGTTTTAGTTTTAGGGAAATGCGAAGATTAGCTCAGGATAGGAAGGAGTGGAAGTGCGTATTCAACCAGTCCTAGGACTGATGACCTTATGATTATGATAGTGGATAAAAATTGAGAATGTATTTTCAACTGAATATTAATCACTAAGAATTTCAATGTGTTTGAAAGAACGTTTAATTTTTAGGGTAGAAATTGACATAAACTATCAGCCGCAAATGGCGATTTCAAGAAATTAAACGTCCTTACCTGTTACGCTA